TGTACATCAGGTACTGTTGCTGTGGACAACATGGGCTTGATATCTCTCCAATCCTATATTGACAAACAGTCACTGTTACTACTTGGAAAACTATGCCGATCCAGTTACAGCTATGTCTTTAAAAAGGTATCCATTACTCGCCTTGGGCAGTTTAGATACGAAATAGCGTTGGATAACTTAAAAAAACGATGTGCTTTGTCACCTGTATATAACATGCTCAGACTTGTCAAAAAATACAATCTTAATGCAGAAATAGAAGATTATCTAATTAAATGTAGCTTCCCAAGTAAAAAGGCATGGTCTGATATTGTTAAGGAAAGGATTATTTCTGCAGATCAGGAAGCGGTATGCTCTAAGCTGCTATCTATAATTTAACTTAAATAGATATGTTTCGCTACGTAATGATAAAGAACACAGACTCTGGCTACTTGCACTTGAACGTCCTGAACAGTTCCCAAACCTGTCTCATCTTGTACGGCTGGGATGCATAAATATAGAATCCAGGGAATGTCGATGTGGAATTGTAGCTCATGATATTATTAAGCATGTCTTTTTGTATTGTACATTGAATATGAATGACAGAAATGAACTATTTGAAATAATTTGTGATGTGATAGATGTCTCTACATTTGCAAGACTATGTTATGAGGACGATGATATAATCCTGTCTGTACTATTTGGCGGTATACCTGAGTGTGTTAGCTCTTTATCTTAAAGTCTATGGGGTGACCTTATGGTTATTGTGTCAAGATATTGTAGGAAATGTCTGTATCTGCTACAAAACAGTTATAAGAATGCTTGATTGTCATGCATTCTGTAGTTATCATTTCTAATAATATTGTTCAACTGTACTACTGTACAGCTCTGTAATTATACATAATATCATATATGATATGTATCTTCAATATCTGGAGGAAATAAAGAATATCTATCTATCTATCTATGCTCATCAGCATATGAAGCCAGACTGTTCAAGGCAGTCTAATGCACAGCCTTCTTCGGCTTCTTTAGGGTTAGCGAACTGGTCCAAACTGGGCCCTCAAAAACAGGTTGCGCCATCCAGAATTTAAGCTTCTTGGGCAACCCCCAGCAGCTTTCAATCCATCTACCACACTCAAAGTCTGATCAGTACAGGATGGGGACAACAGTTACAATGTCATCTATACCAGGTAATCCGCTATGTCCGGTAGTCGCCATCAAGCACTACCTGGAGGCCCGCCCCTCCGGCTGACAACATGCATTCGTTCATTTCGACCATTCCCCCCTTACAAGGTACCAATTCCAGGCACTCCTAAAAAAGGCCTTAGCACACAGCAACATAAACACGGCTTGCTATTCTTCACACTCCTTCCGCATTGGGGCAGCCACATCAGCAGCCATGAACGGGGTGCTGGAACACCTCATACAACAATACGGCAGGTGGAAATCAGATTGCTACAAAGCTTACATACGCTTACCCACAAATTTAATGCTGCACAATTAATTCAAATAGTCTTTCATGGTACTTACTACACTTCTTATTATTTACAGTTTGGATGGTGGGATCCAGCTACATGGCCAGGGCACGTCAGTACTTGCTCCTGAAGGGCACCAGTCTAAACCAACTGAGGATGCTATGGCTGGCACGAGGGGGGATGAGGTGGAAGGAGCTGGACACCATTCTAGATGCACAGGTCAAGGCGACACGGCGCAGCCCCAGAGCCCTCATCATTCACCTGGGCTCCAACGACCTGTGCTCCGTCAAGGGCAGCCAACTCTACCTTGACATGGTGGCATCAATCCTTCGGATACAACTCCTGCTTCCTGACACCAAGATCATCGTATCCTCAATGGTGCCCAGGCGCTACTGGCACGATGCCAGGGATCCACTAAAGATCGAGGGGATGCGGAAGAATATGAACCGCCGACTGGCCAACCGAGTCAAAGAGCTCGGCGATACAATAGTGCCACATCCCCAGATCCAGGCATCAGACAAGAAATGGTACGCCTGGGAGGGCTTCCACCTCAGTGACATAGGACTGTGTGTGTTTACGGACAATTAATTGCATGCCCTGGCGCTTGTTTTGCGCCAGTAAGGATGTTATCTCCACAGGTTAGTGTTTCTTTTCAGTACATAGGCAAGCTGGGTAACAATGCTATCTCCGCGTGTCGCGTGGCCGTGGATGTGGGGTAGCACTATGGTGCTTTGTGGCGGGGTTCTTGTGGGCTACACTGCTAGTAACAAATTAACTTGCTTCCAAATTAATACTCGTGCTTAAGGCTACCTGCTTTTCAGCAGGAACCTTTCCGGGGTTACCTGCTTCTCAGTGGGAACCTTGTCTTTCCCGACTTCTCGTAAAATAACATACGTTGGGGTAAACAATTGCCACGTATATGGGCCCGGCAGCGGAAGTCGTCTTGTCAAGCGGTAGCTGACAGTTGGGTCCGCGGCGGTAGTCACACAATGGTTTTCCTAGTCGGCCAGGCAGTGGGAGATGCTTTGGCCGGCTACCTGGGGCCGGGCAGTGGTAGTCTGACTGAGGCCAGCAGCGGGAGCTGCTTTTGGCAGCGTGGTAGTTGCCAAGCAATGGTAGCGTTTAAATATGCTACCGTGGGGGCCGGACAGCGGTAGCAGTCTCAGGCCAGCAGCGCTAGCTGCGAATCGCCATTGGCCACTCTAGTGGCCATGGCAACGGTAGCATTTTGGTATACACAACTAGCAGCTTAGTAGCCCACTGGTACCTGCACACCCTCGGCCATTTAACCCAATCTCATCTTCTGTTTTTATTATAGGCACGGGCATCCACGGCTTGGTGGCCCGTGCCTCTCTTGGCATATCGCGGGATAAATGGTAAAGGCCGAGATAAATCAAAATAAAATGAAGATTCTGAAAACATAAGTTCGAAATCTATATCTCTTTTCATATGAAAACGCACCAGCAATAAATCTTGAAATATTACAAAAACAACTTGAGCAATGACCGTATTTCATTAGAACAGACATAGATGGATTATTAAGAAAGACGACAAAGGAAACAGGAATACCACACAGTAATTACAGTGTAAGGAAGACACATAGGGTTAAACTGAAAAGTCAATATCTGGTATGTCCGCCATTGACAGCAACACAGGCCATGCAATGTCTTCTCATTGATCGAATTAGTCTGCGAATAGTGTTCTGGGGCATTCCACTCTTGACGTAGTGTATCTTCAAGTTCTCTCAGGTTCTGTACTTGCGGACGATGTGAGAGGCGTTAACCCAGGTAATCCCCTAGATGTTCAACTTGCGATAGATCGGTTGAAAGGGCTGGCCATGGAAGCAGAGGCACATTATTGATCGCTAGGTACTGTGTTGAAACACATGGTGTGTGCGCTCTTGCATAATCTTGCTGGAAGGTGTGCATATCCTGGTGCTGATGAATGATGGGATGACGCGATTTGCCAATATGTTATTCCTGTAGTAAAGGGCATTAACTCTTCCACGACAAACATGGAGCTCTGTTTGATGGTTATGACTGATGCCGCCCCACACCATGACACTCCCCCCCCCCCACCAATTGATCTTTCTGTACAACCCAGTCATTGTGGTAACGTTCTCCACGTCGACGCCACACTTGCAGTCGACCGTCAGCATTCCGTTAATGAAAACGGGACTCATCAGAGAACAGCACACCATGCCACTGCCGCAATCTCCAATGACGATCCTTTTTGGCCCAATGCAGACGTTCATTTTGATGTCGATCAGTGAGTATGGGTCCAACATATGGACGTCGAGCACGTAGCCTTGCTGAGCGGAGACGTCGACGTACGGTGTCAGCACTGATCAATTCCGTCGGCCTTGTACGGTTGCTGCTGTCCTGGTAGCCGGAAGTGTATGATCACGAAGATGCCGACAAACAATATGGCGATCCTGACGTGGTGTAGGTACACAACGTTGACCCGGACGTGGTCGATCTCTGGTGGTTCTTGTCTGCTGGAATCTGCTCAGTAGCCTGAGGACTGTTGAATGATGGCATTGAAACTGTTGTGCAACGACTCTACTTGACGTACCAACTTGAAGCATGCCCAAGGCACGTTCACGTTCCTCTGCTGTTAATCTTGGTATTTCTTGTGTCAGTACCCTTTACATCTGCAGCAACAAGTGATGTGGCTTTTAAAAGTCTGTCTTTTATAGCCCTATTCTGCATGCTTCCCATGAAACAAAACGCGTTTTTCCATGATGTGCACGCAATTTGTTGCGTTTTGGTGATTTCGCTCACAAAAAAAATTAGGAATGTGTTTGTTCTTCTTCATCCTTCGTCCATAACGTCGTATATTACTCATTCACTTATATATTTTCATGTGACTTAAGCCCAGATAAAAATACATCCATTTTCATGGTGGTGCGTTTTCAATGCTGTTCAGTATATATTGTGAGTGGTGTTTTTAACTACTGTTTGTTATCAGTTAATTAGTTATTAATTAATTAGTAATTATTTTTTTGGGTGTTTTCATAACAGGCCATAAGAAAACTAGAAAGACGTTTGCATTATATGGAAACACGACAATAGCCCCATCCCTACCTTTCCTGGAATGATCCAAGATTTTCCACTTAAAACATGTATCCTAATCATTTGGACTTGGACCTCATGAATATGTATCTATATCTTGTTCACTATTGTAGTCAAATGTATGGGATGTTGTATGAGTTAGGTCTGACAAGATCATTTTAAATGTTCGCCTTTCCTTTTTAAATAATGTTGTCTTATTATTGGGATTTACAAATAATTGTACCATTGTCTTGCTACACGTTATGCCATATCTGAGATGATGAAACTGTCAATGTACGATGAAATGATGGATTAATAGGCATCAAATTATGCAAAGTGGCAAAAACACACACCAACCTTCCATTCAAGAAAACCAAAATCTAAAGATTACCAAAGAAAACATGCCAGGATATAAGCTACATGAATCTTTGTTTCAGGAGAACTAGAAACATCTACTGCTGTAATTGGTTGTACCAAGATAAAAGCAACCTACCGCCAGCTGCCCGTTTCATCAGAGCTTGTTGTAAATCTTCAGGAAGGTCCAGTGAAACCAACTGACTTTCCAGCCCTGGGAAGAGTTTGACATCCTCTGGCTGGTCACAGATGAACACAGCAGCAGGTGCTCCGAACGCCACATAGTTGCCATCAGCCACTGGAAGAAGACACAGACCCTCCAGGTGCTTGTACTGATCAGATTCCAGGAGATATTTCAACAGCATGAGTTTCTTCTGTCTTGGTAATCTTGTAAAATGGTTGCTCAATCTCAGTGTGTCACAGACATCTTTAGGTGTCACTTTGTGAATGTGGGAGCTGAAATGTTTTTCTAAAGTTCTCATGAGTTTCGAAGGTACTGGGACGATGTATCTCTTGTACAGAGTAAATATTTCAACGATTAACGAATAAGCGTCATTGGCCACATCCACAAGAAAGGCATCCTTCATCTTGATCCCCATCCTCTGGTCACTCGGTGTGAACAGTAAAGGTATATTGTGTAGCTGCTTCAGCAATGTTGAAACAAGAGGCTTCCAATTCACATCAACTTCATCAATGTCTGGTATCATTCTGTAGATTTGCTGAATGATGATAATTGAATTAGTATGCACCTTGCAACATTGAACAAGAGCATTTACAATGCTATAATACACCTCAGGCAGAACTTCACTCACAAGACACTTGTTCCACTCCATAGCCTTGTCGGTGTGAGCCTGATTTTGAAGCTGATCTGCTGTTGGCCACTTGAAGTGTCTCCTGTTCTGATTCAAAGCAAAGAAACCATTCACATGAACCTGCAGCCCTGTGGGACTGCGACCCTCCAGGGGGAGTGGGAGGAAACAAAACACATGACCTTTACACTGCTGACCCAGAGGAACAGCCAAACCCACATAAGGGGAGTAGGAAAGAGCTATGTCACTGCAAAGATCTCTGAACCTTGGACTCATAGTTCCTCCTTTGTAGAAGTTGATGACAATCCATTGCTGTAAGGACTTAGGCCCTGCAACATCCACTGTTTCCACAGTTAAAGTCAACTGACTCTCTACAGATGCTGCTGGTATTCCTCCCTGTGCCTGCTTCACTTTTCTCATGAAATCCTGCTTCTCTGTCCTCACATGCTGGAGACAGTCTTGAGACAGCTGCAGTGAGAACTGGACTTGTATCTTTCTTCTCAGTCTCTGGTACAACTGTATCTTCTCTATTGACTTCAGAAATAAGAGAGTGATGGACGCCTCAGACTTAAACGCTTGGAAAAGATCCTTGACTTTCTCCTCTGTGTAAAGGTTGTCTGACAGCTTTGAGATGTTGGTTCTGAGGGGGAACCAGAAGATGGTTCCACTGTAATAGCCCTTGTGTACCGTGTCTGATGTGAAGTCAAAGATGCCACTGAAGACATTAAGGATCATCTTCTTGATTTCATTGGGAAGTTCTCTCAACTTCTTCATGTAGCAGACTCGGTCACTATTCTTCTCCTGAGGGTTGATGAACAACACTGTGTCCCCGCTTATGACACATGGGAAATCTGAAAAGTTATGTGAAAGAAAGTTTAATGATTAAATAATGTTTGTGATATCACTTGCATGTCAAATGTTCCACAACATAACAACTGAAAATTCAAATATCTGTAAGGAATCTTCCAAAATGTAACTTCAAAAATATATTACAAGTGATTCTGTGGCATTTGATTGGCTAACGAAGCTATAAGTTTATGGGCGGCCATTCGGTCAAAAAATAAATGTAGTAAATGTCCTTTCGTGCTCACTGACGTTCTTCATTGAAAACGTCCTTTCGTGATCACTGACGTTCTTTCGTACACATTGTTCTTTCTTTTCTTGTTATGACGTCTTTTCAAAACATTTGACTATTAATATTGTATTTTGACCTTTAGTAGTTACATTTAGTTCTTTATTTGTTATATCTGACCTTAATTGCGTAATTTTGTCCTTTTTTGCAACTTTGTATTTTTTGACCGAATGGCCAGTTTGTGTTTATGTTTCAATAAACGGACAAGAATGAGGTTGCGCACGACTAACAGACAACTGAAATCTAAAAAGGAAACATTAAATTTTGTGAAAGCGAACAAGTTTAATCAGGACATAGTGTTCATGTTCATTTACTTGTCAAAAACCCAATGACTTATCAAGTGACACTCATTTCATGCAAAGAACCTTCCAAAATCTAAATCCTAATATTTGTTTATGTTATCTTTCTGATTCCAACATCTGATCAGAGAAAACAATCATCAAGGTCTTACCAGTGACATGGAACACAGATTTAAATCCGAGCCCAAACCGTCCAACTTTGAGAGGTTCCTCCTCTTTGACGCTGTCATGTAGCATCTTGATTCCGCGCCAGTCCTTCTCCGTGAACAAGGCATCATTGTACACACACAGGGCTGGGGCCTGAAACATAACTCAGTACATTACTTGTGAACAAGGCATCATTGTACACACACAGGGGTGGGGCCGTAAACATAGCTCAGTGCATTACTTGTGAACAAGGCATCATTGTCCACACAGGGGTGGGGCCTGAAACATAGCTCAGTACATTACTTGTGAACAAGGCATCATTGTACACACACAGGGCTGGGGCCCTGAAACATAGCTCAGTACATTACTTGTGAACAAGGCATCATTATTCACACACAGGGGTGGGGCCTGAAACATTGTTAAGTACATTACTTGTGAACAAGGCAGCATTGTACACACACAGGGCTGGACCCTGAAACATAACTCAGTACATTACTTGTGAACAAGGCATCATTTTACACACACAGGGCTGGGGCCTGAAACATAGCTCAGTACATTACTTGTGAACAAGGCATCATTGTAGACACACAGGGGTGGGGCCTGAAACATAGCTCAGTACATTACTTGTAAACAAGGCATCATTGTTCACACGCAAGGAGGGGCCTGAAACATAACTCAGTACATTACTTGTGAACAAGGCATCATTGTACACACACAGGGCTGGGGCCTGAAACATAGCTCAGTACATTACTTGTGAACAAGGCATCATGTACAAACACAGGGCTGGGGCCTGAAACATAGCTCGGTACATTACTTGTGAACAAGGCATCATTGTACACACACAGGGCTGGGCCCTGAAACATTGTTCAGTACATTACTTGTGAACAAGGCATCATTGTAGACACACAGGGCTGGGGCCTGAAACATAGTTCAGTACATTACTTGTGAACAAGGCAGCATTGTTCACACACAGGGCTGGGAATCGAAACATAGCTCAGTACATATACTTGTGAACAAGGCATCATTATACATACACAGGGCTGGGGCTGTAAACACAACTCAGTACATTACTTGTGAACAGGGCATAATTATTCACACACAGGGCTGGGGCCTGAAACATAACTCAGTACATAACTTGTGAACAAGGCATCATTGTACACAAACATGGCTGGGATTCGAAACATAGCTCAGTACATATACTTGTGAACAAGGCATCATTGTACACACACAGGGCTGAGGCCTGAAACATAGCTCAGTACATTACTAGTGAACAAGGCATCATTGTACACACACAGGGAGGGGCCTGAAACATAACTCAGTACATTATTTGTGAACAAGGCATCATTGTACACACACAGGGGTGGGGCCTGAAACATTGTTAAGTACATTACTTGTGAACAAGGCATCATTGTACACACACAGGGCTGGGGCCTGAAACATAGCTCAGTACATTACTTGTGAACAAGGCATCATTGTACACACACAGGGGTGGGGCCTGAAACATAGCTCAGTACATTCTTGTAAACAAGGCATCATTGTTCACACGCAAGGAGGGGCCTGAAACATAACTCAGTACATTACTTGTGAACAAGGCATCATTGTACACACACAGGGCTGGGGCCTGAAACATAGCTCAGTACATTACTTGTGAACAAGGCATCATGTACAAACACAGGGCTGGGGCCTGAAACATAGCTCGGTACATTACTTGTGAACAAGGCATCATTGTACACACACAGGGCTGGGCCCTGAAACATTGTTCAGTACATTACTTGTGAACACGGCATCATTGTAGACACACAGGGCTGGGGCCTGAAACATAGTTCAGTACATTACTTGTGAACAAGGCAGCATTGTTCTCACACAGGGCTGGGGCCTGAAACATAGTTCAGTACATTACTTGTGAACAAGGCAGCATTGTTCACACACAGGGCTGGGGCTGTAAACACAACTCAGTACATATACTTGTGAACAAGGCATCATTGTACATACACAGGGCTGGGGCTGTAAACACAACTCAGTACATTACCTGTGAACAGGGCATAATTATTCACACACAGGGCTGGGGCCTGAAACATAACTCAGTACATAACTTGTGAACAAGGCATCATTGTACACAAACAGGGCTGGGATTCGAAACATAGCTCAGTACATATACTTGTGAACAAGGCATCATTGTACACACACAGGGCTGGGGCCTGAAACATAGCTCAGTACATTACTAGTGAACAAGGCATCATTGTACACACACAGGGAGGGGCCTGAAACATAACTCAGTACATTACTTGTGAACAAGGCATCATTGTACACACACAGGGGTGGGGCCTGAAACATTGTTAAGTACATTACTTGTGAACAAGGCATCATTGTACACACACAGGGCTAGGGCCTGAAACATAGCTCAGTACATTACTTGTGAACAAGGCATCATTGTACACACACAGGGCTGGGGCCTGAAACATAGCTCAGTACATTACTTGTGAACAAGGCATCATTGTAGACACACAGGGGTGGGGCCTGAAACATAGCTCAGTACATTACTTGTGAACAAGGCATCATTGTTCACACACAGGGCTGGGGCCTGAAACATAGCTCAGTACATTACTTGTAAACAATGCATCATTGTTCACACACGGGGCTGGGGCCTGAAACATAACTCAGTACATTACTTGTGAACAAGGCATCATTGTACACACACAGGGCTGGGGCCTGAAACATAGCTCAGTACATTACTTGTGAACAAGGCATCATGTACACACACAGGGCTGGGGCCTGAAACATAGCTCGGTACATTACTTGTGAACAAGGCATGATTGTACACACACAGGGCTGGGCCCTGAAACATTGTTAAGTACATTACTTGTGAACAAGGCATCATTGTAGACACACAGGGCTGGGGCCTGAAACATAGTTCAGTACATTACTTGTGAACAAGGCAGCATTGTACACACACAGGGCTGGGATCTGAAACATAGCTCAGTACATTACTTGTGAACAAGGCATCATTGTTCACACACAGGGTTGAGTTCTGAAACATTTTTGGGTACATCAGTTGTGAACAAGGCATCATTATCCACACACAGGGGTGGGGCCTGAAACATAGCTCGGTACATTACTTGTGAACAAGGCAGCATTGTACACACACAGGGCTGGGGCCTGAAACATAGCTCAGTACATTACTTGTGAACAAGGCATCATTGTAGACACACAGGGATGGGGCCTGAAACATAGCTCAGTACATTACTTGTGAACAAGGCATCATTGTTCACACACAGGGCTGGGGCCTGAAACATAGCTCAGTACATTTCTTGTAAACAAGGCATCATTGTTCACACACGGGGCTGGGGCCTGAAACATAACTCAGGACATTACTTGTGAACAAGGCATCATTGTACACACACAGGGCTGGGGCCTGAAACATAGCTCGGTACATTACTTGTGAACAAGGCATCATTGTACACACACAGGGCTGGGCCCTGAAACATTGTTCAGTACATTACTTGTGAACAAGGCATCATTGTAGACACACAGGGCTGGGGCCTGAAACATAGTTCAGTACATTACTTGTGAACAAGGCAGCATTGTACACACACAGGGCTGGGATCTGAAACATAGCTCAGTACATTACTTGTGAACAAGGCATCATTGTTCACACACAGGGTTGAGTTCTGAAACATTTTTAAGTACATCAGTTGTGAACAAGGCATCATTATCCACACACAGTGGTGGGGCCTGAAACATAGCTCAGAACATTACTTGTGAACAAGGCAGCATTGTAGACACACAGGGTTGGGATTCAAAATATATCTCAGTACATTACTAGTGAACAACACATCATTGTACACACACAGGGCTGGGGCCTGAAGTATTGTTCAGTACATTACTTGTGAACAACGCATCATTGTTCCCACACCGGGAGGGGCCTGAAACATAACTCAGTACATTACTTGTGAACAAGGCATCATGTACACACACAGGGTTGAGTTCTGAAACATTGTTAAGTACATTACTTGTGAACAAGGCATCATTGTACACACACAGGGCTGGGGCCTGAAACATAGCTCAGTACATTACTTGTGAACAAGGCAGAATTGTACACACACAGGGTTGTGTTCTGAAACATTGTTAAGTACATTACTTGTGAACAAGTCATTATACACACACAGGGCTGGGATTCAAAACATAGCTGAGTACATTACTTGTGAACAAGGCATTGACGCCAGTTTGTCCAATTCAACCATGGGAACTAAATATCTATTTCAGAGCAATTATTAGTATCTGCCATATTTTAAAGGTTTTCATTTCACATCTACGTATAATTTAATAGGGATGTTTGCTTTTGAAACTGAAAACATTTATTCTTCTAATCCTGTAGTTAAATTTCCATCCATTTGGTTTTTAATGGCCAATAGGCGTATGCTCAAAAGCTGGTAAGAGCTACCCTATGGAATTAGTGTATTGACATTCTGTCAAGTAAGTTCACCTGTAATGAGGCTAGGTAACGCTTCTTCTTCAGTAGTCTGGGATCAGGGTCAATATGTCTGACATCATACAGTATTCTCATCTCACTGGCCTCGGCATCTTCAGCATTCTGGATCAACTCCTGGTAAAAATACAAGTTCACACTCCATAGTGATGTTGTAGAGACAGACATATTTAAGGATAAATGCGTTTTAAAGTTGCAGGTGTGACAAGATTTGATTTTAGTCACATAAAGATGACATGTCATCTTAAAGTGTTAACTCACCTTGAATATCTGTCAATCATCAGGGTACTGGTCCAACACCGACTCACCTTCAGTATCTGTCAATCATCAGGGTACTGGTCCATCACTGACTCACCTTGAATATCTGTCAATCATCAGGGTACTGGTCCAACACTGATTCACCTTCAGTATCTGTCAATCATCTGGGTACTGGTCCATCACTGACTCACCTTGAATATCTGTAAATCATCGGGGTACTGGTCCAACACCGATTCACCTTCAGTATCTGTCAATCATCTGGGTACGGGTCCATCACTGACTCACCTTCAGTATCTGTCAATCATCTGGGTTCTGGTCCAGGACGGACTCACCTTGAATATCTGTCAATCATCAGGGTATTTGTCCAGCCCGGAGTCACCTCGATTATCTGTCAGTCATCTGGGTATTGGTCCAACACTGACTCACCCTCAGTATCTGTCAATCATCAAGGTACTGGTCCAGCACAGACTCACCTTGAGTATCTGTCCATCATCAGGGTACTGGTCCAGCACAGGCTCACCTTGAGTATCTGCCCATCATCAGTGTACTTGTCCAGCACAGACTCACCTTGAGTATCTGCCCATCATCAGGGTACTGGTCCAGCACGGTCTCACCTTGAGTATCTGCCCATCATCAGGGTACTGGTCCAGTACAGACTCACCTAGAGTATGTGCCCATCATCAGGGTACTGGTCCAGCACACACTCACCTTGAGTATCTGTCCACCATCAGGGTACTGGTACAGCACAGGCTCACCTTGAGTATCTGTCCATCATCAGGGTACTGGTCCAGCACGGTCTCACCTTGAGTATCTGTCCACCATCAGGGTACTGGTCCAGCACAGACTCACCTTGAGTATCTGTCAATCATCTGGGTACTGGTCCAGCACAGACTCACCTTGAGTATCTGTCCATCATCTGGGTACTAGTCCAGCACAGACTCACCTTGAGTATCTGTCCATCATCAGGGTACTGGTCCAGCACAGACTCACCTTAAGTATCTGTCCATCATCAGGGTACTGGTACAGCACGGTCTCACCTTGAGTATCTGTCCATCATCAGGGTACTGGTCCAGCACAGACTCACCTTGAGTATCTGTCCATCATCTGGGTACTGGTCCAGCACAGACTCACCTGCAGTATCTGTCCATCATCTGGGTACTAGTCCAGCACAGACTCACCTTGAGTATCTGCCCATCATCAGGGTACTGGTCCAGCACGGTCTCACCTTGAGGATCTGTCCATCATCAGGGTGCTGGTCCAGCACAGACTCACCTTGAGTATCTGTCCATCATCAGGGTGCTGGTCCAGCACAGACTCACCTTGAGTATCTGTCCATCATCAGGGTACTGGTACAGCACGGTCTCACCTTGAGTATCTGTCCATCATCAGGGTACTGGTCCAGCACGGACTCACCTTGAGTATCTGTCCATCATCTGGGTACTGGTCCAGCACAGACTCACCTGCAGTATCTGTCCATCATCTGGGTACTAGTCCAGCACAGACTCACCTTGAGTATCTGCCCATCATCAGGGTACTGGTCCAGCACGGTCTCACCTTGAGGATCTGTCCATCATCAGGGTACTGGTCCAGCACACACTCACCTTGAGTATCTGTCCATCATCAGGGTGCTGGTCCAGCACAGACTCACCTTTAGTATCTGTCCATCATCAGGGTACTGGTCCAGCACGGTCTCACCTTGAGGATCTGTCCATCATCAGGGTACTGGTCCAGCACGGTCTCACCTTGAGGATCTGTCCATCATCAGTGTACTGGTCCAGCACGGACTCACCTTGAATATCTGTCAATCATCTGGGTTATTGGTCAAACACTGACTTACCTTCAGTATCTGTCAATCATCTGGGTACTGGTCCAGCACAGACTCACCTTGAGTATGTGCCCATCATCAGTGTACTGGTCCAGCACGGTCTCACCTTGAGTATCTGTCCACCATCAGGGTACTGGTCCAGCATAGTCTCACCTTGAGTATCTGTCGATCATCAGTGTACTGGTCCAGCACAGACTCACCTTGAGTATCTGCCCGTCATCAGGGTACTGGTCCAGCACTGAATCACCTTGAGTATCTGTCCATCATCAGGGTACTGGTCCAGCACGGTCTCACCTTGAGTATCTGTCCATAATCAGGGTACTGGTCCAGCACAGACTCACCTTGAGTATCTGCCCGTCATCAAGGTACTGGTCCAGCACTGACTCACCTTGAGTATCTGTCAATCATCTGGGTACTTGTCCAGCACAGACTCACCTTGAGTATCTGTCCATCATCAGTGTACTGGTCCAGCACAGACTCACCTTGAGTATCTGTCCATCATCGGGGTACTGGTCCAGCACAGACTCACCTTGAGTATCTGTCCATCATCTGGGTACTGGTCAAGCACAGACTCACCTTGAGGATCTGCCCATCATCAGGGTACTTGTCCAGCACAGACTCACCTTGAGTATCTGTCCACCATCAGGGTACTGGTCCAGCACGGTCTCACCTTCAGTATCTGTCCATCATCAGTGTACTGGTCCAGCACTGACTCACCTTGAGTATCTGTCCATCATCAGGGTACTGGTCCAGCACGGACTCACCTTGAGTATCTGTCCATCATCAGTGTACTGGTCCATCACAGACTCACCTTGAGTATCTGCCCATCATCAGGGTACTTGTCCAGCACAGACTCACCTTCAGTATCTGTCCATCATCTGGGTACTAGTCCAGCACAGACTGACCTTGAGTATCTGTCCATCAGCAGGGTACTTGTCCAGCACAGACTCACCTTAAGTATCTGTCCATCATCAGGGTACTGGTCCATCACGGTCTCACCTTGAGTATCTGTCCATCATCAGGGTACTGGTCCAGCACAGACTCACCTTGAGTATCTGTCCATCATCAGGGTACTGATCCAGCACGGTCTCACCTTGAGTATCTGTCCATCATCAGGGTACTGGTCCAGCACAGATTCACCTTGAATATCTGTCAATCATCTGGGTTATTGGTCCAACACTGACTTACCTTCAGTATCTGCCCATCATCAGGGTACTGGTCCAGCACAGAATCACCTTGAGTATCTGTCCATCATCAGGGTACTGGTCCAGCACCGTCTCACCTTGAAGATCTGTCCATCATCAGGGTACTGGTCCAGCACAGACTCACCTTGAGTATCTGTCCATCATCTGGGTACTGGTCCATCACTGACTCACCTTCAGTATCTGTCAATCATCTGGGTTCTGGTCCAGGACGGACTCACCTTGAATATCTGTCAATCATCAGGGTATTTGTCCAGCCCGGAGTCACCTCGATTATCTGTCAGTCATCTGGGTATTGGTCCAACACTGACTCACCCTCAGTATCTGTCAATCATCAAGGTACTGGTCCAGCACAGACTCACCTTGAGTATCTGTCCATCATCAGGGTACTGGTCCAGCACAGGCTCACCTTGAGTATCTGCCCATCATCAGTGTACTTGTCCAGCACAGACTCACCTTGAGTATCTGCCCATCATCAGGGTACTGGTCCAGCACGGTCTCACCTTGAGTATCTGCCCATCATCAGGGTACTGGTCCAGTACAGACTCACCTAGAGTATGTGCCCATCATCTGGGTACTGGTCCAGCACACACTCACCTTGAGTATCTGTCCACCATCAGGGTACTGGTACAGCACAGGCTCACCTTGAGTATCTGTCCATCATCAGGGTACTGGTCCAGCACGGTCTCACCTTGAGTATCTGTCCACCATCAGGGTACTGGTCCAGCACAGACTCACCTTGAGTATCTGTCAATCATCTGGGTACTGGTCCAGCACAGACTCACCTTGAGTATCTGTCCATCATCTGGGTACTAGTCCAGCACAGACTCACCTTGAGTATCTGTCCATCATCAGGGTACTGGTCCAGCACAGACTCACCTTAAGTATCTGTCCATCATCAGGGTACTGGTACAGCACGGTCTCACCTTGAGTATCTGTCCATCATCAGGGTACTGGTCCAGCACAGACTCACCTTGAGTATCTGTCCATCATCTGGGTACTGGTCCAGCACAGACTCACCTGCAGTATCTGTCCATCATCTGGGTACTAGTCCAGCACAGACTCACCTTGAGTATCTGCCCATCATCAGGGTACTGGTCCAGCACGGTCTCACCTTGAGGATCTGTCCATCATCAGGGTGCTGGTCCAGCACAGACTCACCTTGAGTATCTGTCCATCATCAGGGTGCTGGTCCAGCACAGACTCACCTTGAGTATCTGTCCATCATCAGGGTACTGGTACAGCACGGTCTCACCTTGAGTATCTGTCCATCATCAGGGTACTGGTCCAGCACGGTCTCACCTTGAGGATCTGTCCATCATCAGGGTACTGGTCCAGCACACACTCACCTTGAGTATCTGTCCATCATCAGGGTGCTGGTCCAGCACAGACTCACCTTTAGTATCTGTCCATCATCAGGGTACTGGTCCAGCACGGTCTCACCTTGAGGATCTGTCCATCATCAGGGTACTGGTCCAGCACACACTCACCTTGAGTATCTGTCCATCATCAGGGTGCTGGTCCAGCACAGACTCACCTTTAGTATCTGTCCATCATCAGGGTACTGGTCCAGCACGGTCTCACCTTGAGGATCTGTCCATCATCAGGGTACTGGTCCAGCACGGTCTCACCTTGAGGATCTGTCCATCATCAGTGTACTGGTCCAGCACGGACTCACCTTGAATATCTGTCAATCATCTGGGTTATTGGTCAAACACTGACTTACCTTCAGTATCTGTCAATCATCTGGGTACTGGTCCAGCACAGACTCACCTTGAGTATGTGCCCATCATCAGTGTACTGGTCCAGCACGGTCTCACCTTGAGTATCTGTCCACCATCAGGGTACTGGTCCAGCATAGTCTCACCTTGAGTATCTGTCGATCATCAGTGTACTGGTCCAGCACAGACTCACCTTGAGTATCTGCCCGTCATCAGGGTACTGGTCCAGCACTGAATCACCTTGAGTATCTGTCCATCATCAGGGTACTGGTCCAGCACGGTCTCACCTTGAGTATCTGTCCATCATCAGGGTACTGGTCCAGCACAGACTCACCTTGAGTATCTGCCCGTCATCAAGGTACTGGTCCAGCACTGACTCACCTTGAGTATCTGTCAATCATCTGGGTACTTGTCCAGCACAGACTCACCTTGAGTATCTGTCCATCATCAGTGTACTGGTCCAGCACAGACTCACCTTGAGTATCTGTCCATCATCGGGGTACTGGTCCAGCACAGACTCACCTTGAGTATCTGTCCATCATCTGGGTACTGGTCAAGCACAGACTCACCTTGAGGATCTGCCCATCATCAGGGTACTTGTCCAGCACAGACTCACCTTGAGTATCTGTCCACCATCAGGGTACTGGTCCAGCACGGTCTCACCTTGAGGATCTGTCCATCATCAGGGTACTGGTCCAGCACACACTCACCTTGAGTATCTGTCCATCATCAGGGTGCTGGTCCAGCACAGACTCACCTTTAGTATCTGTCCATCATCAGGGTACTGGTCCAGCACGGTCTCACCTTGAGGATCTGTCCATCATCAGGGTACTGGTCCAGCACGGTCTCACCTTGAGGATCTGTCCATCATCAGTGTACTGGTCCAGCACGGACTCACCTTGAATATCTGTCAATCATCTGGGTTATTGGTCAAACACTGACTTACCTTCAGTATCTGTCAATCATCTGGGTACTGGTCCAGCACAGACTCACCTTGAGTATGTGCCCATCATCAGTGTACTGGTCCAGCACGGTCTCACCTTGAGTATCTGTCCACCATCAGGGTACTGGTCCAGCATAGTCTCACCTTGAGTATCTGTCGATCATCAGTGTACTGGTCCAGCACAGACTCACCTTGAGTATCTGCCCGTCATCAGGGTACTGGTCCAGCACTGAATCACCTTGAGTATCTGTCCATCATCAGGGTACTGGTCCAGCACGGTCTCACCTTGAGTATCTGTCCATCATCAGGGTACTGGTCCAGCACAGACTCACCTTGAGTATCTGCCCGTCATCAAGGTACTGGTCCAGCACTGACTCACCTTGAGTATCTGTCAATCATCTGGGTACTTGTCCAGCACAGACTCACCTTGAGTATCTGTCCATCATCAGTGTACTGGTCCAGCACAGACTCACCTTGAGTATCTGTCCATCATCGGGGTACTGGTCCAGCACAGACTCACCTTGAGTATCTGTCCATCATCTGGGTACTGGTCAAGCACAGACTCACCTTGAGGATCTGCCCATCATCAGGGTACTTGTCCAGCACAGACTCACCTTGAGTATCTGTCCACCATCAGGGTACTGGTCCAGCACGGTCTCACCTTCAGTATCTGTCCATCATCAGTGTACTGGTCCAGCACTGACTCACCTTGAGTATCTGTCCATCATCAGGGTACTGGTCCAGCACGGACTCACCTTGAGTATCTGTCCATCATCAGTGTACTGGTCCATCACAGACTCACCTTGAGTATCTGCCCATCATCAGGGTACTTGTCCAGCACAGACTCACCTTCAGTATCTGTCCATCATCTGGGTACTAGTCCAGCACAGACTGACCTTGAGTATCTGTCCATCAGCAGGGTACTTGTCCAGCACAGACTCACCTTAAGTATCTGTCCATCATCAGGGTACTGGTCCATCACGGTCTCACCTTGAGTATCTGTCCATCATCAGGGTACTGGTCCAGCACAGACTCACCTTGAGTATCTGTCCATCATCAGGGTACTGATCCAGCACGGTCTCACCTTGAGTATCTGTCCATCATCAGGGTACTGGTCCAGCACAGATTCACCTTGAATATCTGTCAATCATCTGGGTTATTGGTCCAACACTGACTTACCTTCAGTATCTGCCCATCATCAGGGTACTGGTCCAGCACAGAATCACCTTGAGTATCTGTCCATCATCAGGGTACTGGTCCAGCACCGTCTCACCTTGAAGATCTGTCCATCATCAGGGTACTGGTCCAGCACAGACTCACCTTGAGTATCTGTCCATCATCGGGGTACTGGTCCAGCACAGACTCACCTTGAGTATCTGTCCATCATCTGGGTACTGGTCAAGCACAGACTCACCTTGAGTATCTGCCCATCATCAGGGTACTTGTCCAGCACAGACTCACCTTCAGTATCTGTCCATCATCTGGGTACTAGTCCAGCACAGACTGACCTTGAGTATCTGTCCATCAGCAGGGTACTTGTCCAGCACAGACTCACCTTAAGTATCTGTCCATCATCAGGGTACTGGTCCATCACGGTCTCACCTTGAGTATCTGTCCATCATCAGGGTACTGGTCCAGCACAGACTCACCTTGAGTATCTGTCCATCATCAGGGTACTGATCCAGCACGGTCTCACCTTGAGTATCTGTCCATCATCAGGGTACTGGTCCAGCACAGATTCACCTTGAATATCTGTCAATCATCTGGGTTATTGGTCCAACACTGACTTACCTTCAGTATCTGCCCATCATCAGGGTACTGGTCCAGCACAGAATCACCTTGAGTATCTGTCCATCATCAGGGTACTGGTCCAGCACCGTCTGACCTTGAAGATCTGTCCATCATCAGGGTACTGGTCCAGCACAGACTCATCTTGAGTATCTGTCCATCATCAGGGTGCTGGTCCAGCACAGACTCAACTTGAATATCTGTCAATCATCTGGGTTATTGGTCCAACACTGACTTACCTACAGTATCTGTCAATCATCTGGGTACTGGTCCAACACTGACTCACCCTCAGTATCTGTCAATCATCAGGGTACTGGTCCAGCACAGACTCACCTTGAGTATATGCCCATCATCAGTGTACTGGTCCAGCACGGTCTCACCTTGAGTATCTGTCCACCATCAGGGTACTGGTCCAGCATAGTCTCACCTTGAGTATCTGTCCATCATCAGTGTACTGGTCCAGCATAGTCTCACCTTGAGTATCTGTCCATCATCAGGGTACTGGTCCAGCATAGTCTCACCTTGAGTATCTGTCCATCATCAGGGTACTGGTCCAGCATAGTCTCACCTTGAGTATCTGTCCATTATCAGGGTACTGGTCTAGCACAGACTCACCTTGAGTATCTGTCCATTTTCAGGGTACTGGTCCAGCACAGACTCACCTTGAGTATCTGTCCACCATCAGGGTACTTGTCCAGCACAGACTCACCTTGAGTATCTGTCCATTATCAGGGTACTGGTCCAGCACAGACTCACCTTGAGTATCTGTCCACCATCAGGGTACTGGTCCAGCAAGGACTCACCTTGAGTATCTGCCCGTCATCAGGGTACTGGTCCAGCACAGACTTGAGCTGCTTGATGAGGGTGGGCAGTTCCATGCACATATACCCTTCATCATCAGACTCGGAGTCTGAAATATATATACAAGTTAGAATAACATATTGACACTTTTCTGCTTTATTTCCAGTCATAAGTCATGTTTTTACAACAAATTCCCACCTCTATTTGTCACAAGAGAAATGTTAGATAAATAAAACATCATTATGTTTTTATTCAAATAGTTTCAATCATCCCAACCCGTAAACTCTTTTGCATCCAATTAAGGATTGACTGTGTATTTATTTCGGTTCATTAAGGTATGAATCGAAAAACCGATGTGCAAACTGTATGAATTCGCGTAGTTTAACCAAAAACAGTTGCATATATATCAAACAGACAAAAAGGACGAGAACATTCCAGGTGTAGGAATACATACTTGGTGTGACATGAATCAGGTGATTGTTTAATTTATGCACATAACTTGACACGCCTACACAGTCAGTAGCCAATCAACGGAGAGTAGAATCAAAACAATATTCATTGGACCTGTCAATTACGGCAAGAGGCGAAAAGAACTGCAACAGTCAGACTGTAACGAACCGGAAGAAATATGTCAGGGAGAAGGCGGCTGTTTCAAATAACATGGTTAGTTACCGCCAAATTCTAACATTACTTCCCTGATAATGGTAAAACACAGTTGAAAAATGCTAGTTAGAAATGAAACCTAAAGACATGAAAGTTGAACCTAGGCGAGCGGGGAAAAAACAGGCGAGCCAGCCTGCACGCTTGCTGTTTCATTCATTCTCGGCCTTCGGTTTCAAAGGGTAATTTGGTCAATGAATATGCATGAAAGTCGCTAATAGTCCTGTGCATGACGATACACGTAAGCAAGGGAATTCCCACGACTGTCATATTGGGATTCCCTGACATTCCGCAGTTATAAAAGTAGTGCGCCTCGGTGGGCGTGGCTTAATTTTTTACATTCATAGGAAATGAATGCAATAACACGTGACCAATTCAGTTAATCAGAATGCTGGAATTTCAATGAACACAACAAAACTTTAATTATTGGGACATGAAGTGGATTGTAAGTATTTGTGACCATAAGGATATTTTGTACTGATGATCCTGCAAATATCATTATAATGAAAAAAATATAGAAATGCTTTGTAAATAAATTTCATATTTTGATTTGTTAATAGTGAGTCATGTACTTCCTTCAAACAATAAATAAGTGACGAGATGCAATCTTTGTCACAAACTGCATGACTTTAGAATTAAGCAGATTGGACTGGAAGACTGGAAGATCTATTGCATCTATTTCTTGAACAATTGTGCACTTTGTGATAAAAACATGAAACTTGGCACAGTTGTAGGTAATGACATTCCAAATATTTTAGGATATGGGTCCTTCTAAAAAAATCCAATATGTCCGCCATGGAGCAATGAAATTCTAGTATATCTCGTATGAATTGATTCCGTTCCTCCTACATCAGCTGCTTTGTACCAACATGTCAAAAGAGCTGCATTTCAAGCTGGCCTGACTGTTGACGACGAAGTTTGGAGGCCGAAACAGACCTTTCCACACCATCTGGGAGAATGTGTAATATCAATAACACATGGCTGCCAACCTATGTTGACTACACTACCACAAGCTTCTTAACCATGCCAAGAGCTTCTGGGTACACTTGCACAAGTCTTTAAGGCAATATTTATTAGTTTAAATCATAAGTTCTAGATTCTGTAAATAATAAGAACAAGTTGTCCCTATGGGAGACTGGAGTACTGTCCCCATATCTAGACTTGCCTATTTGAGGAGGATTGAATTACTACACATCAATGGACTTTTCTTTCAGTACAGCCTTGGAGCAAGGCTAGCTTCTGAGTTGCAGTTGTAAATCTGAGAGGGGATGCAGAGCAAGGTGGAAGGATCCGTGTTAATTAGTATGCCTTTGTTTAGTATGCCACTTTGCAAATGTAGTGGCGACTGTGATCACATTTAGTTGTCCCTTGCCAAAACCAGACAATCAGCCATTTACAGCATATTTCAATAAATATAAAATTTTGTTCTTTAAATTTGAAAGTGTTTGTGTAAACAACATAATGTCATTTAGCAGTATTTAGCTAAATGGTGTTATTGGCCCGCCTGATAAATCTACCTTAACTTATAGATCTAATCATAATGTAATTCCAGGCATATCCAAGTAGTCTGTGTACATCGTGTATTCCCTTTCGGCCACATGGACACATAGGCGCATACTCATCTGTTCATACACAAGCATATTCAAGTTTACATAATAACTCTAAGTTATAATCATAATATACCCCCGGTAAGGATACATTCGGTGATATCGCAATAATTATCACCCTCCAATTTATGATACGCAACCACAACCATAACACGTGGCCTTGTTGCCAAACAAATTCTTCTCCTTGTTATCGTCTTTGTCTGTTTCTCAAGTGACGTCATATTTATGACGTCATATATATTACGTCATTTCAAAAACACTCACTTCGCCATCTTTAACCGCTTCAGTACACCAGTATTCGACTTTCCGAAAAGTGTTGTTATCTCCCTTTGCAAAGAAAATTAGAGTGATGTCCCCTTTTCACGTTCACTTCCGCCGAGTAAACCTTCAAAATGGCGGCAAATAACAATATTGACGTTGATGATGAATTCCATCAAATGACATTTAAGAATTGCGTGAATACCTACGGGAACGAAATCAAAAGGTGACTGGGGTAAGAGCACAAGTTTTAGCGCGAGCAAGAGGGGCGAAGGCACTTCGTTTGGATGCAACCACCTTAGTACAACCCAGTAAAGGCGTTATATCTATGCAACGGAAGCTCGTCACACCCAGCGAATATTGAATGCCAGACCCCACTACATTAATGATTGGGAGGAACGATGCTGTTGAATCATTGCCGGAATTCTCAGAGAAGGAAATCTACAATTATATGGTACTTAGCAACCATAGGACTTCAGACACGAAACCCATGATGGCTAAACGACAAATGAAGGCAGTGGTGTTTTACCAAGATAGACATGTTCACGGCGTAGCTCTACACAACATCCATCACGACTGTGACCATATGTTTGTCAGACGCCGTGTCATACCATCACTACCAACAGCGGATCCTAAGAAAAGCCCCGATCACGAAGTTTGGGCAAGTCTCTCAAAAGTAACAGGTCGTGTTCATTCAGCAAATTGTACTTGTGCAGCTGGGTATGTAGACTTTGCATTTATATAACTACAGTCGTGTCATCTATATCTAGATCGCTGTTTTTTTACAAACAAAACGTTTCAAAACCTTTTCAAAGAAAATATGTTCCAAATACTAAGTTTGATCAAAAGATATGTAAATTATTAATTCCAAATACCAGCAAAGTAATTGATACATTTTAAAATCTCTTCCTTTGAGGGACCTCTCATTCACTTTTGTTAATTTAAATAAATAAACAGATTATTGGTATTGTTGCTTATTAATATGTGACATCTTTAGCTGATTACATTAAAAATAATAATTATTTAGGGTGAAATAGAGGAAACATGACTGTGTCATTTTATATGCATTTGATTGTTATTTCATAATATTAAAGCTAGAGTCCAAATAATATTTATAAATATAACTAATTTTGTTTTTGCAGTGCCGGGGAGGCTTGTAATCATGTATCAGCCCTGCTTCATGCCCTTGCAGATATTAGTCAGAAGAAAAAGGATGGTTTGCTTTCATGCACATCAGTTGAGTGCAAGTGGAAAATTCCCAGAAAAAGGAAGTTGGATCCAATGAAATCGGATGACTTGAACCTGATGTCAAGTGTCAGGAAGAGTCAACAAAAAGGTACTGGGACTACACAAGGTACTGTCGGAATACAGAATGGAACAATCAACAAAAGATCAATGTGTCCCAACAGCAACATGCCGCAGACAACAATAAATCTCACAAGATTTAATAAGAAGTTAATTGGTCATGAAACAAAAAGTAAATGTGGATATGTTGTTAATACAACTACTGTTACTCAAGCTCCTGAACCTATGCCAGAACTTCCAAAAGTACCATGCATTGATTGTTGTATTCCTGACTATGTTGATATTAAATCGCCAACCTGTCAAACTACCTTTCAAAATTATTTTGATTCCATGAAAGTGTCAGAAAAGGATGTGAGGTCAATAGAGAGAATGACAAGAGGACAACATAAAACAAAGTTTTGGAAGGAAGCCAGATTGGAAAGGATAACAAGTTCACAGTTTGGCAAAGTATTTATCCGACAGACATCTACAGCTCCAGATAGACTTGTATGTGACCTAATGGGATATCGGGGCGAATTTGGTAACATACATACCAGATGGGGACTTTCATATGAATCGGCAGCAAGGCAGCAGTATATCAACAAAATTGCAGGTCTTCATCCACAGTTGAAAGTGTCTCAGTGTGGACTAATTGTGAATACAGACTACCCTTACCTTGCAACTAGCCCTGATGGACTTGTGTCATGCACAGATTGTAGTACATGTAGTAATCAACATGGCTTAGTAGAGATTAAATGTCCATCTGTTTTCAAAGATCTAACACCAGAAGAGGCTGCATCAAATACAAATTTCTTCTGCCATATTGTGGACAATAATTTGACTCTAAAAGAAAACCATGCATACTACTTTCAAGTACAAGGACAGATGGCCTTGACCAAAAGAACTTGGTGTGATTTTGTGGTGTGGACTCTCAAAGGGATATCTATTGAAAGGATTACATTTGACGAGAACAAGTGGCATCAGATGGTCACAAGGCTTCGCAGTTTCTATCTGTCAGCCATTATTCCTGAAAAATATACCAGACGTGTCCAGCGAGGTGTTTTACTGTATTAGATTGACCGTTGTACTACTATCTTACCAGTTGTTTTACCCTATGCTCACTCAGTCAATTCAATGTTTCACTCAATACCATATCATAGTTTGATAGTCATAGATACTTACCATTCAGTGGGTGAATTGTTACTTAACGCCGCATTCACGGCGACTGACCATTCAGATAGTATGTCGCTTAGACATAGGATATCTTCTTCTCCTTGTAATTTCTTGAACCATTCTATTA